CAATTGTGTCTGAAGGCCATTAAAGGTGGGTGTTTGACCCGCCTCTGACGGCAGTCTATTCCAAACTTTGGGGTCTCGGACAGTAAAGAAGTTCTTCCTTATGTCCAGCCTGAATCGGTCATAGCAGAGTTTGTGACAGTTTGATCTTGTCATCCCTTGGAACACTCTGGTGAGCAGACGTTCCCCCAGATCCTGATGAGGACCCCTGATAAACTTATGGGTGACCAACAGATCACCCCTGAGCCTGGCTTTTCTAGGCTGAAGAGTCCCATGGCTCTCAGCCTCTCATCATAAGGTCTGCTTTCCTGACCTCTGATCATGCATGTGGCTCTCCTCTGCACTCTCAAGCTTTTCTGCATCCTTTTTGAATTGTGGAGTCCAAAACTGGACGCAGTACTCCAGCTGCGGCCTCACCAAGGCCAAGGACAATGGGAGAATGACGTCCCAGGATTTGCTTGAGAAGGGTCTATGGATGCAAGCCATTTGCTTGCTTTACTAGCCACAGCATCACATTGAAGGCTCGTGTTCATCTTGTGGTCAATCATGACCCCCAAGTCCCTTTCATCTGTAGTGCTAACCAGCATTGCACTGCTGAGCCTGTACGGATGCTGCAGGTTTTTCCTCCCAAGGTTGAGAACCTTGCATTTTTCAGTGTTGAACACCATCAGGTTCTCATCCACCCATTTCTTGAGCCTGTCAAGATCTGCCTCGATCACCCTCCTATCCTCAGGTGTGGATGCTTTACCCCAGAGTTTGGTGTCATTGGCAAACTTGGCCAGCCCGCTTCTGACACCAATGTCCACATCATTGATGAGGATGTTAAACAGTGTAGGCCCTAGGACGGAGCGTTGAGGGACCCCTTTAGTGACTGCGCACCCAGACAATTGGCTTCCATCAACCACCACCCTCTGAGTCCTGCCGCGGAGCCCGTTCCCCAGCCAGCGGATCGTGGTGAGGTCAAGGCCGCAGTTAGCCAGTTTTCCAAGAGGTGATCATGGGATACCAAATCGAAGGCTTTTTTGAAGTCAAGATATACGACATCAATCTCTTCCCCCTTGTCCAGGTGATAGGTCACCTGGTCATAAAAGGAAATAAGATTGGTCAAGCAAGGCCTACTGGCAACAAACCCATGCTGGGTATCCCTCAGAATATTGCTGTCAGCTAATCTGTTAAGAATGGCCTCTTTGATAATCTTTTCCAAAGGCTGATGGGCCTGTAGTTTGCTGGATCTACTTTCCTCCCTTTCTTGAAGATAGGCATGACTTTGGCCTTCTTCCAACCTTCGGGCACTTTACCAGAGCACCAGAAGTTCTCAAAGATCCGTGCCAGGGGCTGAGCTATGATGCTTGCCAGCTCCTTGAGTACCCTTGGGTGTAAACCTTCAGGGCCGGCTGACTTGAAGGTTTCCTGACAGGCTGACTGTTGAGGTGTTCCTTCACGAGGTCAGCATTGATGGAGGGCAAGGAATCTCCCTCACCCGGGCCTCCCTGACCCAAGTGGGCAGGGGAGTCCCATGGGACTGGTGAAAAATTGATGCAAAGTACCCATTAAGCAAGTTTCCTTTTTCCTGGGCATCCGTTGTCAGCTCTCTACATATCTAAAAAAGGAGATTTATTGTCCTTGATATTTGTAGCTAGCTGGAGTTCCATCTCGGCCTTGGCTTTCCTGGTTTGCTCTCTGCAGGTCTGGACCGGAGTAAAGTATTCCTCCTTGGTGATGGTTCCAGTCCTCCATCCTTTGTTGGTCTTCCTTTTAAGATGCAGGAGGTCCGCCAGTTCCCTGGAGAGCCAAGGGAGCTGCTGTGCCCTTTTGCTGCCTTTCCTCCGGATGGGATGAACTTTGCTTGCGCATCCAGGATTGCTTCCTTGAGGAGCAACCACTTGTCCTGAACTCCCCTCCCCTTTGGGTTGTGGCCCTTTAGGGCCTCACTGACAAGCCTCCTTAGCTTGTCAAAGTCAGCTTTCCTGAAGTCGAGGACTTCTGTATTACTGACTGACTTGCCAGCTTTACAGCAGATGGTGAAGGTGATCAGCTCATGGTCACTGTCACCCAGCTTCCCTTCGATCATTAGGTCGCTGATTAGGTCGTCCCCGGTTGCCAGTACGAAGTCGAGCAGTGTCTTACCTGTCGTCGGCCCGTAGACTTCCTGCATCAGATAGAGGTCATCCATGCATGAGAGAAAGTTTTGCGACGGCTCGGATTTGGCTGAGCACCCCTCCCACGAGATGTCTGGGTAGTTAAAGTCTCCCATGACGATCATGCACCAGGAGTGTGTGGCCTCAGCTAATTCCCTGGCAGACTCCTGGTCAAGGTCTTGACCCTGGGTAGGGGGTCTGTAGTAGATTCCCACCGTAATATTCCCTGTGCCGTGTTCCCCACGGATTTTAACCCAGAGGGTCTCAACTCGCCTACTGTGGGTGCCAATGTCAACTTGCAGGGACGTGTAGCTTTCCTTGACATAGAGAGCTATACCTTTGCCCCTTTTGTCCACTCGATCCCTCCTGTACAGGGTATAGCCATCTATACCTGTGGTCCAGTCATGGGTGGAGTCCCACCAGGTCTCCGTTATCCCTATGACATCATAGTTATTTACGTTTAACAGGAGGACAAGTTCCTTCTGTTTATTCCTCAAGCTTCTGGCATTTCTGTGTAGGCACACAAGTGTCCCCTTGGGGGCCCTTGCCTTGCCTACAGATTGTTCCAGGGCTGGGGCAGGGGTGGGATCCCTTAAATGCCTTGACCTGCTGGCTTTGCAAGGGTTGCTCAGTGGGCCAGCAGTGGCAGTAGTTCCCCCCCATCCCTTGGTGGGCTTAGTTTAAAGCCCGGTGGAGCAGGTCAGCCAGTCTGGCTGAGAAGAGCCTCCTCCCCTGCGGAGAGAGGTGGAGGCCATCCCTTCCCAGTAGCTCACTGCCTCTCTCACCAAAGAGCCAAAGCCTTCCCGACGACTTTATTTGCTACTCTATGACTCTAAATTTGCTACTCTCTATCTTCCTGTATGGCTTTTTAGCATTATTACACTTCCTGATTAAAAGAACCAAAGAAACTCTGAGATGAGAACAAGGCAATTTACTTCAGCGTGCTAAGAATTTGGTTGTTGGCCCATAGATGGGTTTAAGCATAGCATAAAGAGATCTGTCACCAAATGAAGTATGCAGCCCAAGCTGACTTTCTTTCATTGCTCATCACCAAATCTGTGCTTGAGGTGGAGAGCAAATTGTAAAAATTGTACATCTTTGATAGTGAAAAATTATTTTTATTGGTTAAACTAATACTTTGGAATTTTACCCAGATTCACAGAGATCTGTAGATTAAAATGAAAGGCTAGACCTTCATGTACTTTTCCATAAATTTAAGTCCTAGTAAAACTCTAAAACAGAAAATATATGCGGGTGGGTATTGGTTCCCATAAAAGTGAGAGAGAATATAAATATATATATAAAATTAGTTGGGTTTTTTTAATATGCATTTTGTGTATATATAATACACAAACATTATAATACACACACACACTAGCTAATTGCATGTCAAGAATGACAGATTTCACGGAGTGTTTACATGGCCCCCCCCTCACCCTCTGCTCACCTTTTTGGGCCGTCCATCTAAAGACTTCCTCCACTGCCACCGTTGCATCCTCCAGCCTCTGGTGTGGGGGCTCTCTCCCCTGCCTGCCTCTGCCTCACATCAGGGCTTCCCTGTGCCTCCCCTCCCCACTCCTCTCCCTCGCCACCATCTCCCGCTCCCTGCCAGCTGTTGTCAGGGTTGGGTGGCGGGGGGGTGCTGTCACCATGACCCCACTTCCCCTCCCCACCTCTCTCCCTCCCTCCCCACTGCCTGGCCCTGACAACAGCTGCCCCCGTGACACCCCCTTTGCCGCCTCCACCCCGCTCCCCTCCCTCCCTGCCTGCCACCTCCTCCTCCCTGCCAGCTGTTCTGGGAGGTGTCGGGGGGGGGGCACCACTCCCGTGACCCCCCCGCTTTGCCCTCAGGCAGGGAGGCATGGGGAAGCCCTCCTGCTCAAGTGGCCTTGGGCGTGTTCGCCACTGCCACTTATGTCACCAGCAGCAGCTCAAACTTGGGCCTGTGCAGCCTGGGCCCATGCAGCCAATTGCCACCTGCCCTCTTGGCGGCACGTGCACAGTTGGCCAAAAGTGTTACGGACAGACAGACACACGGACATACAGACAAATACACAGACAGACAGACTAAGCCTTTATATATTTTCAGATTTCAGATACAAAATTCAGATTTTCAGATACAAAATATATGTATGTAGGTAGGTAGGTATAAAACCCATATATGTACATATACATGTATGTATGTATAAAACCCAACTAATTTTGTAGGCAGAAAGATTGTCTTATCTTGTTCCTCTGTCATTCTGGAAAGCACACTTCTGGAGGCAGACACATGCAAATTTCTCTGACCAGATGACACCTATGAGGCAGGTTTAATGCACCGTATCCTTAGCTTCAGCAGAAAACCAGCAGCGTGGTGCAGTTTCTCTCTGTCTTCATAGGAAACATTTTTATTTCTTCTTCCCTTTTTCCCCCCTGTCAACCCTCTCCCACTCTTTCACCTTTCATAAAAGAAGACCAAGTAAAAGCACTATAAAAATACAGAAAGCGTGCATCTGTAACACTCAGGAGGTCTCTTTCAGAAGAAGGTAAAATCCCTTTGTCCTTGCCTTCAGCTTCATCTGAAAAATCACACTTTCAC